CATAACAAAAGGCTATTCTGATTATGGTCAATGCAAAGCCTTACTGTATGAGAAAGTTCTAGAGAACTCTCATTAAAAATAAAAAGTATGTTACAGATATGTAATACAAATCTACAAATTAATTGTATGATAGATAAACTTATACAAAATTTTGTGTTCGTACCTTATAGTTAAAGGAATAGTTGAGTTCTGTTGCAGGGGGCGCTATACAAAATAAGTTTGTGTGAGATAATGAAAAACTGAGTGTCAAATTTGAAAGAACATACAATTTAAATGACAAAATCATCTTTTTTTTGTTCAAAATCGGTTTAGAGACGGCTGAAATATCCATAAATATAACGATTTATAATATTGTGTACCACCACAAATATTCGATAATTTGAAAAAGCCGTTCAAAAAACGAATTTTACGTCGTATTTCAGCCAATGCCCATGTTGGCTTTTTTGTTGGCATTTTCGTGTTGGTTATTTTACGCACAACCAGCAGGCCCATGTATTGTTATTTTTAATTAAATAATTGATTAACCATCACCGTATTTTTTTTTTAAAGTGGAGCTGAATTGGTATGATCGCATTGGCTAAATTTCACACATTTTGGGGTCTAAAATTACCTTCATAGCAATTATAGGTTCTAAAAGGGCACTAGAAATGTCATAGACAAGAATAAGAGCAATAACCATGCACTTTGAAGGCATTTGAGGTCTGAAAACAAAACTCAACTATCCCTTTAATATATCATGTCATTAATTTGAAGATGTCTATAAAATATTCATAATATTCTTTATCAAAAAATATTAAAAAATTCCTTGGAAATTTCATTTTTGAATGCTCGGATTGACCAGTGGCGCATCCAGACATGGAGACTGGGAGGGGAGGGGGGGGGGGGGGGGGCAAAGTATCTACAGGCGATCCACATATTTCAGCAATGAAAAGACTTTTGGCAGGCCCTGGTTTGATAAGTTCTTATATATTAAATGGCTAATTAGGGGAGGAAACGAAGAAAGTTCGAAGGGATGGATTAAAACCTACTATGCCAGTCAACACAAATTTATAACCTACGGAATATGGACCATTGGGTGTTTTTTATTCGGTCTATCAATATTTCTGGTCGGTCTGGTGTTGGTCTCGTTTGCTATATACGATGGTTCTTTACAGGACGTTTCTTTATACGAGTATCGTGTAATTTTCCTTCAGGGCATGTTAGAGGGTTAGTACAGTAGAATGAATATTATAAGTAAAATGTCATTAAGTTGTCTTTTCATTAACCTTAAACAATGCTACCGGTTCACATTAATGCTATTTAATTCTCATCTCGACCCTTCGTGCATTGTCATTAATTTAATATTTGACCTACGAAATAATTTACTTTGTCACAAAATAAGTTGTATATTCTTGCCTAGTCCGGAATTTGTAATTACCCCAATACGCTCATTATTAATAGCTAGTGGATATAACAGTGAGAGAATATCCCATATCCGTAAGATAATTTCGTCAAACATAATATACAGTCTACATTTTTCATAATCCTGAAGCGGAAATCTCTTTTATTTTTATCGAATGGGTCACCCTAGTAACGAAGTTGTAAACGATTATATTTTTGTTCTGTGCGTGCTAATTTTTCGTGATCTTATGTGCTTAATCGTTAAAATAAATCAATTTCTAGGCCGTAATGCTGACAGCTCGAAATCCACCCGATCCATTTTCAAACGTTCGCAAGTTTCTTTTTGATTGATTTGTGAACTCATCTAGTGATATCAATACTTCTCTTTAAACATGATTATACGAGGTTTACAAGAAGTGAGGCAAGATGAATATAGAGAGAAAACTAGTTTTATTTGAAGGGAAATATATGGCGTCCTTTTGTAAGAGTAGTGATACCTTATTCAGTCACACTGCCAAGTCGAGTCAAGACAGACTCAAAACCGACTGATCTTTGGCCATAGGGGGCAATGTAATTGTTTGTTCGGTCTATTGGCGGTCTCGTGTCGGTCTCGTTGGCTCGACTGAGGAATCAGTGTGTTAAAGCTAAAGACCAGTTATGGTCATGCGATTGCATTGTGAAAGAAACATTGTGAAATCGATCAGAAAAGGTTGATCATCTAGCATAGATGTACTGCAAGGTTCTGGAATCATCAAAATGATAAGAAATTTGGCCAAGTCTTCATAAAGTTAGAATCACTGTACACAGGAAGATGTATATGGGACTACACACACGTGCGCGACACATGCATTTGTATCTCTCAACAGGCAAGAGATACACTAATTTACCAAATATATCAATTAGTAGGCGGCTTCCCGTCAACATTTTTATCATCATGTATTATTCAAAACATATTCTTTCACATGATTGGTAATAAGAGCTTCCATTTCAAATTTTGAAATTGGGGCGTTTCCAATACTGGTCTTTACCTTTAAAAGACCTTTTCGATGTTCCCCATATTAAGTGACAATTGGCAAAGGAGGAACAGTGTTGCGATATTCAATTAAAATCCTCTTGTCGTCTCAATAGCTATATCGCTCGGCACAAACAAAAAGTAATCCACTTAACAAACGGGAAAATGTTTCTGGGATAAAGAGTTGTCGTGGTCTAGTGAATAGGTCACTGGACATTAAACCGTATGGTATGGGGTTCGAATACCCTGATACCAACGGTGCTAATGCCCTTTAGAAAGACTCGTTATCCCTCTATCTCCCCTCCCCCTCTACTCCTCTCTCTTTCCCCTCCTTCCCTCTGATCTGAATTTCTATTCATTTCATCAACGTTAACCCATTGTTTCTCTGTCTCAGATGTACCCCCCCTCTCTCTCTCTCTCTCTCTCTCTGTCTCTGTCTCTTCGCGCACTTACATAGCACGATCCAGACAAAGTGGCAAAGAAAACATCTATTCTTTTTGCACATCATTCTAAACTATCAAGTACGGTGTTTACTTTTATTCAAGGATATGTGCCAAATCTTCATAAAGTAAAAGACATCTGCATGTTTTGTCCACTCGACGAACTCTTTGAGATGTTTGATACAGAGTGTCATTATCTAATAATGAGGGAAGTGATAGGTGTAGTGATAGGATCTTATCCCGGCTATCTTCCTCCTCGTCCTCTTGAAGGGCTCTTTGTATTCGAGGTGAAGTTGAGTGTTTTGTCTTTGTACATCGATGGTGCGGAGAGAAATTGATTTTAATCTTTCTCCTGTTAGTTTAATAAAAACTAGGAGATTTCGAGGGCATTTGCAACATATTCGTGACCTCGCAGTAAGTATCACTAGCCTATGTGTTTACTGAACAAGCCTAATGATATGGATTTGAGAGGGGTTTGAGGGTTTTCTATGGAGATTTCTACGTTTGGTCTTGATGCTTCCTTGCATAATATCAAGCCTCGAGTGTTTCCGAAGCCAATTACTTATCTTTCATTCTATTCATTGTTAAAGCGAAACATTAAAACGAACTAGTTGCAATTTTTCTTGAAAGTGGCTTTGTAAATTAAAAATTGATTATGGCATTTACATAACAATTTGAAGAGAAAGTTGAGTTTTGGTCATGCGATTGCATGGGAGTGATTGGCAAACGATGAGCATGTAGGATATAGACATTGGTGTATGCTGTGAGGTTTTTGAATCCTCGAAATGATAATAAATTGGCCCAGTATTGTTCAAAGTCCAATACACTGTACACATAAATGTGCATGTGGGACTTCACAGACGTGTGGCATCAAAGCGTGGTCCACAAAACTTCTTGTAGTAATGTGAATATAAGGGCATTTTAAGAGTCATCCTTTAATTGCAGGGACACTTTTTCTAAAATACTCTTCCTCACTAACATAAAGAGAATTAAAAGATTCTTTAATTATTTGTTCACCTTTCCCAGAACGCAATCTCATCTTTAAAAGACAAACCACTCATTAGTCCATGTCTGCAGTGTTGTTTAAAATAATGATGAAATATAATAACATTCTCCAATCCTCAAATGACATTAAGGAGAGGAATACCGAGTTTAAGGATCTCTTAAAGATCCTTGTAATTGTTATTTTCCTGTTGTCTCTTGCACGCTTCCCTTTTCCGTCTTTTCTTTTTCTCTGCCATCTTCAAGTTCTATTTCTTTTATTGTTCCATCTTCCTCTATGTTGATAATATACTTATAATAACATTCAGTAATACAAAGTAGTTCATGATATTTACTAATCTCCAGGGGCACCATTGACGAACAGTCAGAACGAAGAGTCCGAAGTTTGCTTGTAACAAAGGGCTTGCTTTTGATGACCAGTTGCCAGATTGAAGAATTGATGTAGGGATATCACTCATTTAATAAATTCTGCCCTTTAAAAAAAAATAACATTGGATATTTGTATAGCGCACAGATCTACAACGCAAGGTGCTCAGTATAACCCCGGTTTTAGCTAGGTTACCGTTTTCGGTCCATCATGCCGGTACCCATTTAGCACCTGGATGGGGAGTGGTAAATGTAGATTAATGTCTTGTCAAAGACACTATAGTGCCGCGCCGGGGCTCGAACCACGATCTTTGCATCTCCAGCCAAGAGTTTCAACCATTCGACTACGACAACTCTACAATGATTACCATGTATCCTTAACAATGAAACAAAGAACAAATGACTGTTTGATTCCAACCAATTTCATCTGACAACGACCAGGGTTTGGTGAAACATACACTGTATATTAAAGATGTACAGACACTGACAGGTAATCTCTGTAGTTTTGGTTCTATGAAATTTCCGACGACGATCTACCATCTATGATTGATATGACATGATCACAAGGACTTTCAAGAAGTCAACTTTAGTAGCCTCGTCTGTTACCTCTTGAAATATGTGAATATTACCTATTAAAATAATAATACGAACATGATGATTACAAGCCATACGAAGGAGCTTTCAAAATGCCCGAAGCTTGATTCATTGAAAGTCTTTGCGATCATGCTTCTTGAATATTGAATTTCAAAGCCTTGTTTTTTTTAATGTGAAGTACGGTATTTTGCTTTATTCCTTAACAGGTTGCGCCTTCTGGCAGCCGAGAAATAAAGAGAGAGATATACAAGTCCGCCGAAGACCGTGTGAGTGAGTGACGTCATCTTCGGGAGCATTCATACCAGCCTATCACCATGATAAACTTGACGGTGAACTACCATCGACCACCCTCCACCGTCGACTCTCAGACCGTGGATGGCGCCTATCTGGTTGAGGATCAGGTGGTCCCCAATGGCGTCAACGGAATCGCTAAGCGTCACGTGGTCGTATTCAGACAACGCCGGTTCAAGAAGAACAAGTACATGGCCATGGCCGCCATTTTCTTTGTGGTTGTCGTGTTGCTGATAGCGGGATTGATCGCCGGTGTTTACCACCCCGGTGAGTCCTACCATGAAGTACGCGTTGGGACTTGGGAACCACCAAATCAATCGATGATCGTTGCATTTGAGCGATGATTTGCTGACGGAGAACTGAGTCAGCGACAGGCAATACCTTTAATTGAAACGCCATGTAAAAGTGAATACTTAATTCGTACACTACAGTGCGTCCCAGAAAAAACGAAAGCGAGAATTATCAAGATTTTTTCATAACTAAATCACAATTAAAATTAATAAATGACACATATTTGTAAAGCTCCTCCTCTTTCATTTGATACAACTCATATAATGCATGAGTGATTACAAATAATTTGAAGAGAGGGTACCAAAGAATCACACAGTTCATTTCCTGCCCTTTCATATTACACCTCAATCAGGAAAAATGAGCCAGGAATAACAAAGTCCTGCTTGTTTAAAGTAATGCTTGCATTTCCATAATTTGATTAGACGAATTCGTTTTCACTGTCTGCCTGCCGTAGCAACAAACAGAGTTGACAAAAGACTTAACTCCGTTTCGTTGACAACTTCAGCCATGCGTCTTTTTTGTGTGATTTGGAAGCATTTAGCGAATGCGCAAGTAATTCAACGCAATGTGTGCGCTTTTATTTGTGTACGAGGTCACTCACAGCCACATTTGATATAAGGGAACATGGTATCATCCGCTGTGGTCATCTTCTTTTATTAGACAAATCCAAGCAAACATTTGCATATGAGAACGCGCTTTAGTCGATGACAGGTGTAAGTAAAGGCCCGGTCACACGCAGGTCACAGTGCCTTAAAAGGACACCACATGTACATGTAGAAGTCCACTATGTCGATCGATGTGCAAATCTAAAAGTCCCTATTAACAGGCATTAATGACGCACACGGTTGCCAGGTGTAACTCATTCATGAATCCTAATCGTTCCTCTTCTAAATTTTTCCCTAGCAGGGTTCGAAACAGACACAGACTCTACGTCACTACCCTCCTCATCTCCGACGTCGACACCGGATCTTAGCGGGCAGGTACCGCCGTCGATTACCCTACCGAACCAGCTGAACTGCGGGACTCGGCCGGGCTACACCACGAGGCACAAGAGAGTGATACACGGACGGGCCTCAGAGACAGGCCAGTGGCCTTGGCAAGTTTTCATCCGTGAACGAAACATCTACGTGTGTGGGGGTGCTATCGTGGATCCACAGTGGATCTTCACGGCTGCGCATTGTGTGTAAGTACGGAATATGAAAATATAAGAGTTCCCCGTGGGCTTATCACCGTGCGTGGCGTGACAAATGCTGATATTTCTAAAATGCTGTGCACACACTATATTGTGTAACACAGACACAGTGTCACATTTTGGTCACAGTGGTCGTTACTTTGTGTGGATCACAGTGTGGGAACAGAAAGGATTTAGAAATATTTGAAGAGCACCTAAAATTAAAAAAAAAATGTTTACACTGACGTTGCTATGACAGGGTAACATTACAGCCGCAGTGATCGTTACTATGTCTGTAACACAGTTTGAATACAGTGATTATTTGACACATTTACAGAGTGCTATAATATGTTTAAATATTGTATCCACACTGATTGTATTGTTTGGCACGTGGCCATATGAAAATATGCTGTGTCTGCGTGAATTACAGTGTGAATACAGATATACTTTAGAGTTTAGAATGCTTTCAAAATTGCTGGTACGTTGAAAACAGTGTGTTCACAAAGGTTGTTCAACACAAACACGACGTAACAATGTGCGTGCAGCGAAATCAACCATGTATGTATCACATTTCTACTTGCGTACAGATCGAGTGCTGACAATTTGGAACACTTTCACACTGATTGTATCATTTACCACATTGTGTGCCACAGTTATCATTAGTGCGTACATGCGGTAGAGTGTGAACTCAGAGAGGATTGAAAGTGCCAACAGAGTTCTGACAATTCCAGGGATCGTTACTGTGTTTGCATCACAGTGTGAACACAGAGAATATTTATAATGTTTAAACATAATGTTGGCAATTTTAGAAAAACCATGTTCTGACTGATTCAACTGTGTTCTACACAGACTCAGTGTGAGCAGACTGTTTTCACACTGATATTTGACTTTGGACACGATTCTTTTAGTAGAGTTTCTCCACTCTGATGCAATGTAGGACTAAAAGCAAATAGACTTTTTTTTAGAAAGTCCAACAAAGATAAATAAAATGAATATTTGATCATATATCAAATCTATGATATGAATGACAGACAGTGTACCATTGCCAGTTATTTCTCGAACACATATTTGAAACCCTTCATGCAACACGATCAAAAAGATAAATCCGAAGGCAATTTCAATACTCTATTGTATACCCATAGAAATCATGTTTGGATTACATACTTCTCAATTGAACTGCCTTGTTGTTATTATGTTATGTATTTTATTTTAAAATATTATAACGATTGTTTATTCATTCGAAAATATGCATTTGATCTTTAGAAAAGTATTTTACGACATGGTCTTTTCCTAGACCATAGCAAGTTGCAATTATCAACTGCAAATTAATTTGAATGAATCAGAATGGCGTATTTAGGACTGGCGTTTCTTATTTTATATTGTGTTTAAACGTAAATTTTCATTCAAGCCATTTAGAGAACGATACCCCGTCCATAAATACAGTTACAAACATGATGAATAACAGAAATATCTGTTTTAACTTTTATTGTTCGTTTCCAGGAATCTTTTTGACAAATCAAGGAGATCACAACCTTCTAATATCACAGTAGTAGCTGGTTCGCTTCATCGAGAAAATTACGACGAAGGGACCCAGGTGCGGACCGCAGTTCGACACATTGTGCATCCAAACTATTCAAAAGAATATATGTTATTCAATTACGATATGGTATTGCTGAAGTTAGACAGACCATTTGAAATCAATGAACATGTGAGGACTGTTTGTTTGGAATCCCTTTTAAATTCGGACCTGTATGCACCGGGAAAGAAATGCATAGTTGCCGGTTGGGGCTTCACTGCCAGGAGAGGTAAGTCTCATATTCCATCGCCAAGAATGTCAATATTTTGGTCCAAGATCTATGAAATCAAATTATATCCCAGTGCTGACACCAATATTTATACCATCGATGAAATCAAATGACATCATACTCTACTGCTGACATCAATATTCACACTATCGATGAAATCAAATGACATGCCATTGCTGACATCAAAATTTCCACCATCGATGAAATCAAATGACATCCTACCGAGGGCCGTAGCCAGAGTTTGATGTTTTTTTTTTGTTTTTTTTTTTTGTTGTTGTTGGGGGGGGGGGGCACATACATGTAATTGATCGACGTCCTTGGGAGGGGTCAACAAAAGTTCAACCGATCTTGGAATTTGTTTGGGGGGCACGTGCCCCCCCCCCCCCCCCCCCCCGTGGCTACGTGCCTGATCATACCCTACTGCTAACATCAATATTCACACCATCGATGAAATCAAATCATATTCCAGTGCTGACATCAATATTTATACTTTCGAAATAAAAAAAATACATCCAACTACTCACACCAATATTTGCAACGTCGATGAAATGAAATGACATCAAACCCTACTGCTGACACAAATATTCACACCATCGATGAAACCAAATAATATCCCAGTGCTGACATCAATATTCACACCATCGATGAAATCAAATGAAATAATACCCTACTGCTGACATCAATATTCACACCATAGATATATCAAATCCTATCTATATACCATCGAAATTAAAAAGACATCCAACTACTGACATCAATATTCATACCATCGATGAAATCAATTATATGCAGTTGCTGACATCAATATTTTCACCATCGATGAAATCAAATCACATCTCAGTGCTGACATCAATATTCACACCATCGATGAAATCAAATGAATCATACCCTACTGCTGACATCAATATTCACACCATCGATGAAATCAAATGAAATCATACCCTACTGCTGACATCAATATTCACACCATCGATGAAATCAAATCACATCTCAGTGCTGACATCAATATTTATACTATCGAAATAAAAAAGACATCTAACTACTGACATCAATATTCACACCATCGATGTAATCAAATCATATTCCAGTGCTGACATCAATATTTCCACCATCGATGAAATCTAATCATATCCCATTGCTGCCATCAATATTTATACCATCGAAATAAAAAAGACATCCAACTACTGACATCAATATATGCACCATCGATGAAATCAAATCATATTCAAGTGCCAACATCAACATCAATACCATCGATGAAAAAAAAAATTCACCCCGCTGCTGACATCAATATTTACACCGTCGATGAAATCAAATCATAGAATTATGCAATTGCTAACATCAATACAGTAGTATATTACACGGCTGGCAGCGATATTTTGCACTCTCAATTTCATCAATTAAATTTATACATATACCTGTACATAAAGCCTTACGAAAATGATGGAAATGGACGTAATTGTTTTCTTTAAAATATGTTGTGGTGTACTTAGTTAAAGATGTGATCCATTTTTTTAACTTTGTGCCCCAATTAAACAGAAAAACGGGGAGATATTATAAACACACATCCACACACAGGGTGCTCCGTATAATTCTTTTAGAAATTAATTCGTTCGTTCAGTGACCCGTTCTGTTTTTTCCTCATAATTACATTCAAATAACACTAGTCTGTAAGCATGATAATGGTAAAAAGACCATACAAGATAACCCATTCTATCTTTCTTTTTGTTAAACTCTGCAGAATCTCAATCTGACAGTGGTGTTGAATTAGTCTACGCGGAGATTCCGTTGATTGAAACTAACGAATGCATGAGATGGGCATCAATGATCAGTCGAAGGCAAGAGCTTCAGATAACACCGCAACGGCTGTGTGCAGGGTACGAGGACAACAGACAGCTCTTGGCACACATAAGCGTCCCATGTAGGGTAGGATATAATAATAGTAATTATGGTCTTATTTTCTCCCAGGGTAGCATCGCCAGCATAACCTTGTTCTTCACTTCTTCTGCTTGCATTTCCATAATTTAATTTTAAAAGTTCGTTTGATCTGGCCCCCTGCCGTAGCAACAAGCAGAATTGACAAAAGACTTAACTCCGTTTCGTTGAAAATCAGCCATAGACGAAAGACTTCATGCATGGCTGATTTTCAACGAAACGGAGCTAAGTCTTTTGTTAATTCTGTTTGTTGCTACGGCAGGCAGCCAGATCAAACGAACTTGTAAAATCAAATTATGGAAATGCAAGCATAACTTTTAAACAAACAGAACTTTGTTATTCCTTGCTCATTTTTCCTGATTGAGGTGTCATATGAAAGGGCAGAAACTGAACTTTCCAGAAATGCGATCTTCTCTTTGAAATTCAGATACCGTTCCTCTTTTCAAATTAATTTTAATCACTCATGCGTGAAATATGCATCATATAAGTTGCATCAAAATAAAGAGAAGCTTTACAAATATGTGACATTTATTAAGTATATTAATTGTGATTAAGTTATGATAAAACATCGATAATTCTCGGTTTCGTTTTTTCTGGGACGAACTGTATATCAATAGAACCGGTCGCTTCAAATAAAATCAAAAATAAGAGGGCTAATTGTAAGTATGCCTACAAGTTAAGTAAAATATGCCTTAAGTTTTTTTTTCTTTCGTTTTTTTATTTTTTTTAATAAAAAATATATATAAGAGCCGTGATATAGAGTAATCAAGTATATCGCCAAATTCGACTTTCGGTAGTAAGTGCCTGCATTTTATTTGTTGTTGTAAACCAACAGGGGGACAGCGGAAGTCCATTAGTATGTGAGGATCCATCATCAGAAACATGGCATCTGGTGGGTCTGGTGTCTTCTGGTCCAAAGTGCGGGGAGGTCAGTTATTTCACCAATGTGTCGGCAGTCTCGGACTTCTGGCACCTCATATACAATGAATCCGCCTTACCACCCGGTGAGTATAGACCGTTCCGTTTGCGGTTAAAGCCCCGATGTACTACTTACAGCTACTTGCGCCCTCTATATAGCGATTGATGGATTGCTTTGCACAAAAATGCCGGAAGAAATGTCGTGGTCGAGTGGATATGTCACCGGACTGTGGATCACAAGGTCCGCGGTTCAAGTCCCGCCGCGGCAAGACATTGATCTACATTTGCCACTCTCTCCACCCAGGTGTTAAATGGGTACCCGGTAGGATGCGAAAGTTAATATGGTTGGATTAGCAGGTGGCGCTTGTAAAATGGCGACTGGCTGGAATGCTCCCGAGGGAGTGGAAAATGTGCATACATTGTGTTGCAGGTAAGCCTGAATCCGATGACCGGGGTAATTGTATGTGCTGCGCCTGGAAACAAAGTATCAAGCGCATTATAAATGTGAGCTATTGTTATTATTATTATTATTATTATTATTAAGAAGTGAAGTTATAGCTCTCTCGTTTTTCTTGATAATGAAAGGAAATGAAATATTAACAGTAACGTTCTTACATTCAAGTGAATCATTGATTGCTTTAAGATAATACTATTTGGGTTTTATACCGAGCCAACAATACGATGAGTGTTGCCTATAGTTTTATCTAAGTTCCAATGTAGCTACAGAGCATAATACCTTTTAATAAATAATATATCTCACTTTCTTAACTGCTATAGCTGATTTTGAATGCAAAAACGGCAATGGAACTATCCCGCGGGAATGGATGTGCGACGGAGCCCTGGATTGTTTAGACATGTCGGATGAAACAGAATGCGGTAAGAATTATTTAATGTGAGAATACATCTGGGGGTGTTTCACAAAGACCTTAAATCGAACTTAACTCTAAGTTAGACTTAAACATTATGGAGAGCCATTTGTAGTTTTAAAATGAAATATAATCGAAAGCGAAAATTAAAGTATTTTAGACGTTGGATAAATTCCACATCAAGAACATCAAATCTCCCTGATAATAGAAAATATGAATGATTTGAATCAAATGTTATGCCTTTTAAATTAACTTTTATAAAATATATGCTAACGGCTTTCCATAATTTATAAGTTCAACTTAGGATCTTTGTGAAACACCCCCAGGTAGTTTATTTGAGTATAATAGGGCCAACTGTTACTTCCTGGACATGTTGTTGTTTTTACTTCAATAAATCAACTTATTGATGAGACACCCCGAAAAAGAACAAATGATAGACCTGAATCATATTGTGATTGGTTATAGTTCCATACAGTTGATTTCCCAAATTACGGACTTTATTAGAGTGAAACTGAACATAGCATAATAATATTATCTGTATGACAATGCTTACAAAGCATGTGCTTGTAGGCAAGTGACCAAGGGACCTACGTCTATCGGAGGGACTTAAAAATGAGGATAAATGGCATCATCGCCTTTTGGCCTGGTTTTGAACCAGAAACCTCGCGGTTCGGAGATCACTGCTTTATCACTGTACCATAACCCCCTCCCTCATCCTTTCAGAAATGTCACCGATCTTGTTGTTGTTGTTTTTTAACTAGAATGTACGGATCGTCAGTTTCAGTGTGACAACGGGCGATGTATCTTGGATATATTTCACTGTGATAACGTTGACACATGCGGTGATGGCAGCGATGAAAGATATTGTTGTGAGTATAGATTTCTATTTTTCTTAATTCTCCTGGTATCATTTGAAGTTATGATTTGGACCGTTCTTTATCGATGCCATAGTCACCAATCTGGAATCATATCAAATCAAATCATTATTATTATTATTACTGTTATTGTTATTATTATGTGATAGCAATAACATTAATACTAATTATAATAATGATAATGATATTAACAACACAATGATAATATTAATGATAGTCATAATAATAAAAATAATGATAATAATAATAATTTTTATAATACATGATAATAATTATAATTTGATAATTAGTATAATTACAACAATTAATATCAATTAATCTGTTGATAATTTTCTCACCTTTTTTTACCATCAGCGTATTTTAATTGCTCTGACGGTCAGCTAGTATCCAACTCGGTTGTGTGTGACGGTGTTCGCGATTGCATCAATGATGAGAGCAACGAAATATGTGGTAGGTCATGAAGTACTTGAACACTGTAACACAATTAAGTAGGGCCAATGCTCCGTTCACATATGGCGATACATAAGGACTCCAAGGCTATTTTTAAGAGCTAATTTTAAAGATAAATTTTATCGTTTTAGTGATTTATGGATGTTATCAATATGTTGGGAAATACCCATTATTTGAGATCTTTTCGCTCTATACAGTATGTAAAACAAACAAAACACACAATCATTCTGCATCAATGTTTACCACTGCATGTTACTATACCTAATCTGATTATAATGTTAAACCTTAAACTAATACTATTATTTATGACACAGATTATCAAGAAAAAATATTGGGGTATTTTTCGGAGGACTGCTTATTCGATTCTAGGATGGTCTTATAAAATTAGTTGACACCGACATTTTTCACTGTTATTCACTGTTTTATAAGGGGTTACGTTCCATCATTTTTATTCCTCGCAAATTACTTTGATCCTGTAACAAAATGACGTATCGAAACTAATCAAGTCATGAAGTGCAACAAGAGAATGATTGATTTCATGTTGACATGATTTTGGTTGTTCATACATGACTTACGTAGTTGCGGCCATTTTAACAGAGCTATATTAAAGAGATTGACCGTCTTGGCTCTCCATACATCAATGGACTAAGTTGATGAATCTTTTCTTTTAGTTGAGGCTTACACATAAAGTTGAGAACTGTATGGTTATGAACTACATACACAAATACTGATATGGGACTGATGGGACTACTTACACACGCATATGGCATGAAAGTTTGGTTCGAACTTTTCAGCTATTTAATGTCATAGTAAAAAACCGGGCATCTGTAGAGCAGTATCCTTTCCAGGGGATGTATGTTCTTCTATGACACACTTCGAACCTGACATTAAAAAATGTGAAAAGCTTCCACCTAGCTTTACCAAAACTCAACCTGCTCTTTAAACATGGACAAAATGGCGTACGCTCTTTATGAACACAATGCAGGTCTTTGCGATTACTTCTGTTTCTTCCTTACATTGCTATAGCCTATGATCCCGAGACCCACTACGCATGTGCAGGAGGAATAAGGATACCCCACTCCTGGCTTTGCGATGGTTCTGAAGATTGTCACGATGGAGAAGATGAACGAGGATGCAGTAAGTTTGATTTCAAAACAATTATTATTGTCATTATTATTTATATTTCTTATTTCATTTCTTTTGTATTTATTTATTTATTTATTAATGTTTTAACTTATATAGCTACGATGCTGTCTAGTCTTGACGAAATTAACCGTATATTTACAAATATAATATCTTTTCAATGTAATGGAGACCAGAAAAAGCATGAAAACAAGTCAATATGCAGTGTCAATTAGTAAAAAAAAAGTTTGGCGATTTTTAAATTTATTCTTTTAAGCATATATTACTGAAACATTTTCATGTAGCTGAGTGGTTTCTTTATATCAAACGCAGTAAGTTTTTTTTTAAGTAAATGGGGAGGGGTTACTCTTTTTCTCCGAAGATTCGTTATTTAAAAAAAAAAAAAAAGGGTCCTTTATTCCGAAAGTTGGTAATTCCGAAAACGATATAGGTTTCTACATCGTTTTTCGGAATGATGTACGTTCAAAACTGCGAATCTTCGGAACTATGAACCTTCGGAATAAACGGCATGTAAATCGCTGGAGACTTCTACAACAGTACTGTTTTAACCATCATGACTTTGTATTTCTTCGAATTGAGTGTACTCTTGTTCATTAATGATTCAATAAAATACGTCATGGAAAGAAAGAAAAAGACATTAAAACTTTTTATTTCTTTTATATTTTTTTCTTCAGATTGTACATCTTCCCAGTTCCAGTGTGACAACCGATGTATACATACTGACTACGTCTGTGATGAAATATTCGACTGTGAGGATCAAAAAGATGAACAAAATTGCAGTAAGACCAAAACTGTATCTTGCACCAGTATGGCCAATCAAGTCCGAATTATTTTGTCCCGTGTTCTATACTTTATTAATGCAGATAACCCTAGGGATAACCTCGGTTGAGTAAGTTGAATCCATTTTCATTAATGTGGAATTCACTCTTTGCGGAGTGGATTCCACCCCCCCCCAACTCAGTGTTATTTAGGGTACGCATATGCATGTTCCCTCCTTTTGAAAACACCCCCCTAAGTCCGGTGTGTAAAGTCAATACGGGCCGGATTTGTGTGTACTACGAGCCGGACTTTGGTGCGTGAAAAGTACCCCTTTACCAGACATTTTGGAAACACGCATGGTATCCCTCCGTTCACGGAGTGGAGGGGGGGGGGGGGGGGGGGGATTCAACACTCTTGGGCGTGGATTCATTTCCACTCCTGTACATTCAGAGAGTACCAACTACCAAGGGAATTGTATTTTAAAGTTATTCTGCCCTATTAGAACTAGAATCGGACCAAATTATTAAATAACTTTCGTTACCAAATCCAGTATGCCCGACATTGTTTTTCTATAAACTATCTGTAGCAAATCTATGAAATCTCTTGTCTCGACCCGACACTTTTTAATACAAGAAGATTAATAACAATAGTTTGTAAAAAGGCTAGCCGTTGACACTTTGTTATTGTGTGATTATGTTATAAAATGGGCATGTTTTTACATTATGTAAAGAGATTAGCTTCAACTCGAGGACTACCTTTGAAAAAGATTTGTATTTTATTTTATTTCATAGAAGTGTCACTTCAATCATTTTACCAGCTGAATTTTGAAATAGTTTCATTGTTATGAACAGACAAATTTCGAGACATTTAAAAAAAAATAGATTTATGATTCTACCAATATTGAATATAAAAAGCGCAAAAAAACATTATGTTTTGGTCAATTTGTCTGTTTGCCCGTAAGTCCTATCAAAACATTTGTTGTATTTACTGAACAGCCTTCTACCTGCAGTATTTTGAAATTAACAAAACAGGGTGTAAATCGCGGATTTAGTCGATAATTATTATAAGGATTCCTTTATCTATCAATTCAAATCTCTTGACCGTTATCATTTTTTGGAGACCACCGGATGACAAAAATTGGCTGAAAATATGTATTATTATTACTTATGATCAATTAATCACTATTGCTATTTCTTTCATTTGATCTATTTCACTAGCATGCACCGGAGACAAATTCTTTTGCAGAGCAGCCGGTCTGTGTTGGGATATTAAAATGAGAGAGTATTGCGATCAGAGAAGGAGTAAGTCAACCCCAAATGTTATTGTAATATTTAAAGGGGGATGAAGGGGGCATAATTCTTGTTTATTCTCCAAACCAATTGGCGTAGCCAGGGGGCAATATGTTTAACTGTCAAGTGACTCATTCTCTCGCAATCTGAACCTATTTTCTCTTAATTATTTTGGCTGCTCCTAAAAATGAACAGTCGAACTAAAGTAGTAATCGTGCCCTATCTTAACCGTGAATGCCACATTTTAGATACGACTAATGGTGCTGTGTGCATAGGGGAATGTGAGCGAGAATATTCGTTTTTATAAGATTCAGTATGCTTTTTTTAATAAAGACCTATAGTACAATACGAAACCGTAAAGAAAACCATAAATATCTATGTGGTTTGAGAATTTTGTTCAGGATTTTGTGGATGTTAGAGGGGTAGTACGGTTGAAGGAATATAGTAAGTAACATTTAATACAAACATTACGCAGTTTTTTCATCAACCTTACAATGTTACCGGTTCACTTTAACATTATTGTAAATATTATCACTATCATTTTTTTATCATTGATATTGTTATTAATAATGATGTAATTATTGTTTTTGTTATTATTACTATTAAATGACAATAAGCATTACTGGACATTATCAATGAAATAAATAATTCTTCTTATTATTGTTGTCATTATTGTTATCATTATTATTATTATTTGCATAAGTGTTATCATATCATTATGTTTTGTTTATATTTCCTTCTTCCATTTAGCTTGTAATCCAGATACCCTAATACAAGGAGTAACGTGTGAAATATTGGACTTTTGTGCGAGTGAAGATCAAATAACGCATTGTCCTGACTTACTCAATAATTTCCGTAATGATACCGATGTAGGGTAAGTTGAACTGCATTGTCATCATCATCACCATCATCACCACTCTAGAATCACCACCACGTAGTAACGTCATCACAACCACCATCACCACCATCAACACCACCATCACCATCATCACCATCACCATCATCACCATCAGCACCACCACCAACATCATCATTATCACAACCACCACCATCATCACAACCATCACCACCACCATCACCACCACCATCATCATCACCACTACCACAACCACCACCATCATCATCATAACCATCACCACCACCACCACCATCATCAAAATCATCATCATCACCATCATCACCATCATCATCATCATCATCACCATCATCATCACCATCATCACCACCACCATCACCACCACCATCATCATCACCACCATCATCACAACCATCATCACAACCATCACCACCACCATCACCACCACCATCATCATCACCACTACCACAACCACCACCATCATCATCATAACCACCACCACCACCACCATCATCAAAATCATCATCACCATCATCATCACCATCATCACCACCACCATCACCACCACCATCATCATCACCACCATCATCACAACCATCATCACAAACATCACCACCACCATCACCACCACCATCATCATCACCACTACCACAACCACCACCATCATCATCATAACTACCACCACCACCACCATCATCAAAATCATCATCACCATCATCATCATCATCATCATCATCATTGGCAATGGAATAGCTACAGGGGCGGGGGTTCATAGGCATATGCCTTCAATCAAATGACAGAAAATGACTTTTTAAAGCTAAAAGAGAACATGAAAAAAGAAGGGGGAAAGGAGGAGAACGAATATGATAGAATTCCCCACTCCTACCCTCTAACTGTTGACCTTGTTTATTCACAATCATTTACAGAGTTAGACCGGTAGATCGAGATCAGTCACATTCATATAAGAGTGATAACACAAGGTTCAACACTGCTGAAAACTGGAAATTTAAAAAGCTTCAACTAGAAAAATATTGGGAGACGGGGACAGGTAGCAGGGACTTATGTGGCCCCCTCCCCCATCGTGGTCCCTCCATCTTTTAATAATAATACAAATATTATTATTATTATTAAAATGTATTATTATTATCTTTTTGGAAGGTGAAAAGAATATTAATTGCGACCACATTATCACTTTTCATAACTGGCAGCTAAAAAGGCTTATCAAACTTTTGCTAATATCGTCAGTAATGTTTTTTTTTATTTATTTATTCATGCTTATTTATTTATTTATTTATCTCATCATTATTCTCTTTTCTTTTTTTTTTTTTTTTTTTTTTTTTTTGGGGGGGGGGGGGGTGGCCATTCCATAACGAGCCATTATCTTGTCTGTCAATAGAAATGGGAATGATATGCTACTTTTTTTTAAGTAGAAGACACAAAATGAAGGGGGAAAAATCGTCTGTTCGGTGTCATCCGGACATCCAGAATGTCCTTAATGATAAGAGTTAACGCCCTTCTACATCTCAGCTGGCTAATTGATGCCGAGGCACCTCTCCCGACTTGCCATAGGTCCTATACCCATCGCAATGTCCTTTCAATTGACTCATTCATTAAAATTACATCTGTTTTTTTACCGTTAACTTCACAGGAATGGGGGCTGATCTAAAGCTGGACTTGGGTCTTGTCGTGTGCTGTAGTCTGTATTTCGCTGAAGCCTCTAGCCCGGTACATTACCAGGAGCTTCTAAAAACAACCTCTAGTCATATCAGGAGCATAGGCTCTTAGCTATAGCATGTACTTTATCTGATTTGAATTGGTTTGCCAAGCTCAAATCTAAATAGACTGGTAAAAAAGACAAGACAAAAAGTAAAGAACGCAAGAAAATAATTATTAACTTCACGGGATGGACGGTGAAAGCTCGAGAGCTTAATTACAATGAGGTCGAGCCTAGTATTCGAGCTCTAGTGTCCTCTTTTTAGTTTTGATCTACATTTGCCACCCTCAACCCAGGTTTAGTAATTGGGAACGTGCATGGTAGGGTTATTGTTTGAAATGCACGGTACGCTAGTAGTAGATGCCGGAGCTAAAGCCAGGGTAGTCATTTCCAGCACGCCCCAGGCTATTTAGAAGCGCATACCTTAATTTCATATGCTTTATACATGTCTGAATGGAATATTATCATGACACTTGTGAACTAGAGGCAGTATATTCAACATTTCTTTCTTTCTCTCACCGAGATGAAAGGTTCAAGTCGGGATTAGATGTTGTTATATACCACAACAATTCACTAGTACGGTACATTATTATACTGAGGGTAATTCCGTTCCGTGTAGTGTATATAACCATCTGTAGTTATGTGATGGTATAGGCATGGACCTATGGTATAGGCTCATTAAGTCAATTTTTTCCCATCGCCGTGACACATTTTAGAAAAAGGTGTCAATATTTTTCCCCCATTTATTTCTTGCAAGAAAGAGACAACTTTATTATCAATATGTAGACGAACTCATTTCTAATTAATTTATTATCTTAAGTACTATTTCATTTAGCAAAGTTCATTTATGATGGTAGTACTAGTAATGTACACTGTATGTATCGCTCGAGATATTAAAATACCGTGTTTGTCTATTTTATTTACAGTAGTATATACGTTGAAACAATTTACGATGACAAATAAGTTTTCATTAAATGTGCTCCTTCTGTTTTATTGTAAATATGATTAATTTGGCTAAAACGGATTCTATTTATTTATTAATGTTTCTTTAAAATGTGTATTCCTATTTATTTTTCTTGAAAATGAATGACAGTGTAATTACTGCCGCTGTGATTATTTATTGACGTAAATACTAATAGTTATACAGTTGAGATGTTTTGAACATAATGATTGCAATTATTCTCAATTATTAATTAATTCATGTATTTATTTTCCCGCACAAGGTTGGAATCCCAAAAGCTTGTTACCATGGTGGATCATCAAATTTCTTTTACATAAACTACATAAACTAGAATGATATACTAGTACTATAAAACAAATTTAGAATATTATGTATTGATATTGAAATGAAGTGAAATCATGTACATAGTCTATTTTTTCTTTTCTTTTTTCTTTACATTCATTTTGAAACGATAAAATACAAATTGGCGTTTAGATTTTTCGTATACCTTCTGATTTTGCTCAGTATGACAACTTTTTATACAAATATTAAATTGATGAGCAAATCATTTTGACGCGCTAAACGCGATATTTTGTTATTTTGTTTACGTCAAGAGGAAGTTTTATGCAGTAGTATTGGACAATGACGATGTCTAGGCTCGATATAACATTCTTCAAGTTTGCAGCAATGTAAGTTGAATGTACTAAATACGGCGGGGTAAGGGGGTGTCGCCAAACAATGTTAGCACGAGGGGTATGGGGACATTATGCCAATACAGGTCAGAAAATGTATCCATTTAGATCTACCGATAATATGTTATAAATGAACGTTCTTCATTTGCTTTCTTTATTCAAAAAAGTTAAAAACTTTGACAAACTGTCGACGAATGCTTCACCAACACACGCTATTATTTGTGTGGACTCTTGAACATTAGCACAACCATAGTTGAATTACATAAAGTACAAAGCTGTACTCTGAAACACATTTCAGCATTTTCATATGAATTGAAAGGAGGGAAATAAAACGAATATCGTGTCATTTGCCACAGTTTGTTAGTTTGAAGGCCCGTATCCTTTTCGGACTGCCAGTAACTTCAAATTTGATTTATTTTCTGTTATTTATTTATTCATCTATTTATTGATTGATTGATTTGTTCATTCATTTATTTGTTCATTTTTATTATTTTTTGCAAATTTATTAACTCCCCCTCATAGTAAAAAGCTCTGGGGATGCTGAGTTTATCAATAATCGTTTTTAATTATTAATAATTGTAAATGGAAAAATAAAATGAATACACATACTGAATTTCTGTACGCTTGTGCGCAGGGATATCATCTAGAAAATAGTCTACGCAAGTATATATTTAGATTGTTTAAGATGCTTTTTTTGCCCTTATTTTCCCACTAATCCAGCGTCGTTTGATATCGAGATATATTAATAATTTTGCATGCAATCACTGTACATACTTAGGGAAATGTGATATAATATATTTTTATTATATGATTAAACAGCTGTACATGAAAATGCTAAAAATGAAAGGATGAGTTCCAATGAACTACATTGTAATGAAGATGAACGTAAAAGGCACATTTTCTACTTCAAGTTTTTATTTTTGTATAGATTTTTACATTTAGTACATTTTATATACGAGTATTTCAAAGTGTACTAGAGCGTTCTTCGATTTTTGTTTACATTACAATTAAATGGACATTCATGTTGTGCAACGTAGTTGTAAAATTTAAATGGAATACATGTACAAAAATCATTTATCACACTCATTGTCACATATGAATGCGTAAAATGTAATAAACTGTACCTATGAATTGTACATAAAGAATATCTTGTTTAAGTCGTGATGATGTCTTAGATACATGTGCAAATTAATGATGAAAGTTTCAATGTGCAGAGGGTTCTAAATTCATCAGGGGGGGGGGGGGGTGTTTCACAAGGATTTTAAGTTGAACTTATCTCTAAGTTGGACTTAACAACTATGGAAAGCCGTTAGCATCTTTGAAGATTTTTTTTTTTTTTTTTTTTAAAGGCATAAAATGTTGATTCAAATCATTCATATTTTCTATCATCAAGGAGATTTCATGTTCTTGGTGTGGAATTTTTGAAAAGTCTAAAATACTTGAATTTTTGCTTTTGAATATATTTATTTTAAGGCTACAAATGGCTTTCCAAAATGTTTAAGTCCAACTTAGAGTTAAGTCCGATTTAAGATCTTTGTGAAACATTTCCCTGATGCCGTCCCATGCCGGGTGCGTTATTTTTTTCTGCGACACAGATTGGGGTTAGGTGCGTGTTGAGCCTATGGGAAAGTTTAGGGTTAAATCAAGACCTCTTTTTTTTTTTAAAAAGCACCAATCAGTGCCGCAGAAGAAAATAACGCTGCCGGGGTTGGCATTCATCGTCTTCGATCATGAGAGCTCGCTAAAATCTCTTCATAACAAAGTCCAGTTCTGAATCACTGCTTGATGTAGTCAAACCAATCGATTCGTTATTATCTTTCGCGTTTCCCTTCCATCATTGCTTCAAGTGATATCTCCTGTAGTTCTCCTTCTCCTATCAAATATCTGGCCTATAAAAGTTTACTATTTTGTACCGCTTTCATCAGCTACCCCTCTTTACGTACTTTTTTTGCTAAACTAAATCTGCAGATTTAAAAAGACCCATTTACTACTTTATTTCAATTTATGCATGCAATTTTTTTTTTTACAAAACCCCTGGTTGCTTTTAAAATCACCTGCTATTCATAATGGAATCTCTATAAATTTCGCATACATTTATCGTTGCTATGTCTGGCAATACTATAGCTTTGGCAAGCAATTGAGCTGTCCTGGGAAACCTTCTGCAAGAATTATGCATAAAAAGTACGGGTGTTTTGCTATGCTGTCACTAAATTTTTGTTAAGTGCCATGTTACAAATTATTTCGTTCACCTTTTACAAATAATTGTATTTCAAAAGTCAGAGTGTGAATTGTATACAGTGGCGGATCCAGGGGGGGCCGAAACGGCCGCGGCCCCCCCCCCCCTATTGGCGGCGCAAAAAAAGAAAAAAGAGAAAGAAAAGAAGAGAAAAAAGAAAGAAGAGAAGAAAAAAAGGAGAAGAGAAAAGAAAGAAGAGAAAAGAAAAGAAAAGAGAAAAGAAAGAAGAGAAAAGAAGCAGAAAGAGAGAAAAAAAAAGGAGAAAAGAAAAAGAAGAAAGCCCCCCCCCCCCTCCTCCCTCCCTCCCACTCCGGGAATCTCCGATAAAGGGTAACTTTTCACGCAACAAAGTCCGGCCCGTAATACACAAAATCCGGCCCGTACTGACTTTACACACAGCTCTCATTTAACATAAGAAAAAGAGGATCATGGGGGACCAGCAGACGCCGATTGAGGAAGTTTTCTACATAGAGGGAGCAAGTAGCTACAAGTAGGACAGTGTGCCTTTAAGAGTCGAGAATGGAACAACCAATCATCTTCTTCCTCTAACAATATCATTAAACTATGAAAAGTCAAAGCTGCCGCGCTTCGCGCGGGAAGGGGAAAGACTGAATTCAAACAAGGATTAAGAGTCGAGAATGGTACAACGAATGGTCTTCTTTCTCTCATAATTTAATGAAGCGTCCGAAAATTACGCGCTACGCGCGAGCGGGGGAAAACTGAATTCAGACAAGGATTATTTTAGAGTCGAGAATATAACAACGAATCATCTTCTTTCTCTAATAATTTAATGAAACTTTTGTCATGAAAGAGGCTTTAACCCCCCCCCCCCCCCGATGAAAATGTCAAAAATTGTACCGGTATGGTGCTTCTAATATGACCTTGTCAGTATTGGTATGTTGAGTTGAAAAAATGGTCTGCACACTTTCCAAATTTCCGGCTCCCCTATTGGAAAATCCTAGATCCGCGCCTGCCTTAGGTACTGGTCGTACAATCAAGCTTTGTTTTAAATTGCCGTATAGTTTGGAAATTAAGAGGCAAACATCCGCCTGCAAGATTGTGTCATATTGCCAGGAGAAAAAGACATGATAGATAAGAGTGCGAGAGAGAAAGAGACATACAGAAAGAAAGAGTCAGAGGGGAGGGTAAGGGCAGGGGAGTGGGATGGGAGTGGGATGGGGAGGGGGAGCTTAAGAAAGATAAAGAGAGAGGGAGAGGGCGAGAAGGCGAGAGGGCGAGAAGAAGAAAGATCGCGGAGACTATTAAAAAAAAAATCAATTTAAGGCACTTTCAAAAGCTTAAAGCATCACAAATTGAAATATAGAAACATTACAATTGCATGATGACCTTCAATACCCCCCTCCCCCTTTGGATGTTCCATCGAGCTAGGTTCTTACGCCGGATCATCTCTATACTAGATAATCCACTGTTTAGAACGGATACATACAGTGTGAGTCAAAAAAAAAGTTTACACCTAGATAGTTGCTAATTATTTCAAAAATCATCTATGAACAGTATATTATCATACATCTTATGAAAGATTGTTTTATCCCATATCATTTAGTATCATTTTTGTGTGGTATGTGTTCACGCTTGGATGAACAGGAGGCATTGTTTGCGAGAGTGCAAAAATCGACTTAAATGCGCCAAAGTTTCTTATGGGATGTTTGAATAAAACAATTGGGATTTGGGTATTAATTCGTTCTTTGCAGATCCAAATAACACCCGTAACAAAATAAATCATGCCACACAATATCAAATATCAAATGTATGTGTGTGTGACTTTGCTTCTGCAAAAAGCCTATGCAATGCATCTTATTTGATACATTTAATTCATCCTCTATTACTCTAATACATCACATAAGCAACTTTGGCGCAAGTCGATTTTTGCACCCTTGCAAACAATGCCTCCTGTGAACACATACCACACAAAAAGATACCAAATGATTTGGGATATAACACTCTTTCATAAGATGTATAATAATTTACTGTCCATAGATGATCTTTAAAATAATTAGCCATTTTCTAGGTGTAAACTTTTTTTTTACTCACACGGTTTAGAGCTAAGGTGCTGTGGTCTAGTGGATAAATCACCGGACTATAGATCACAAGCTACAGGGTTCAGGATCGACAAGTGGACATGAATTTTCCTCGCCCTTCCCTCTTTGGTTTTCTGCACTTTTTCTCGTAAAGCTGGAATAAGTTTGTCCTTCGCCTTTTCATGAAATGGTTCCGCCAATATGGTTTGTATAAAGTTAATATCTTCTCCGAACTTTATTGATCAATCTAAAAAGGTAAAATATTGATCTATAAGGTTATGAGAAGTCACAAACTTATAAATCATATTGTCGGAGGTTTATTCAGGATGAGAGGTAAGAACATGTATTCCAACTTCATATGCAACTGTATATTGTCAATACTACGGATAAAAATAAAACGTACCAAAAAATTATTCTTGCTGGCTGTATGTCGTTCAAACAATATTGAGTGATTGATTTAAAAAATGAAACGGATTTCATATTTTCTTTGTTTGTCATGAGAATTCATAGTATCACGTGGCACTTATTGATGTATTTTCTTTTAACGTCCTGTTGCATGCATCACATCTACAAAAGGTATTAGAAATGGTACCCTGCATGTCTGCAAATGATGAATTTGATTTTAAAAGTACAGGTACACTCATATCCTGTTTACAGATATTCGTTTGATTTCGTCGATAGATTTACCATATGTCTTACATTAAAAGAGGATTATGAATGGGCCTTGGCCTTGGCCTTGGCGGGGGAGACCCGAGGATCTGGCGCGGGCGGGTGGGTTCGCGCGTCTCTGGTTTCTCTGGGAGCGGACATGTGCAGATTTTGATGCACTTTGTTGATGGTCCATTATTTGATTTATACTGGGAATCTCGCTCAACAAACCTAGCTTTTCTGAGGTTCCCCTTTTCCCCCTCTCAGTTAAGTCAAGCAATATAAAATATTTTCTCTTATTCTCAAACTTGAATGTACTCTGTAAACTTATTTGATTACGAACATACTTGTCAGTATTTCGTTACTTCTATAATTCATTTGTTCTATTATATATTGTATTATTGTATGGTTTATATATGTCATTTAATTTGTGGATATTTGAGTGAAAAATAAATCAAATCAAATCCAAAAAAAAAAAAAAAAAAAATGATGAAACTTGTAAAACAATCTTCCAACTTGAATCTGTAGATATTTATGTCTTCAACCATATTCAATAACTGTCATTAGAAATTGCCGTCATTACTATTTCGTCTCGTCATTTACACTTTAATAGACGGTGGCTGCAACCTTGTGTAAAATAAACTAATATAGATGGAGACTATGTAGTTTGATTATTGGATAAATAAACGCACTATTAACAAAGAGTTAAATATTAGGGTTCGAACCCCTGCCACAGCGCGAATGTCCTTCGGCAAAACATCAATCTACATTTGCCATCCTTCACCCAGGTGAAATAAATGGGTACCCGGTAGGAAGAGATAGATTGCTTCAATGCTTATCATGGCCGCAGGGCTAAAAGCCGGTGTTATAATGTGATCGAGAGTAGTATACATATTATTGAAAATATCCTGCGTATAAACCTCTTCAAACAAAAACTATTATAGACATCTATCTCATTCGTTTTATTTGTATACGTAAGAAAGATGTGCGTGAAGCCAAGCTCAGACAATATGAGTTGGACAATACATGGGTATGTGGAAATACCCGTACCATTAAGCAGCATATAATAATAATAATAATAATAATAATAATAATAATAATAATAATAATAATAATAATAATAATAATAATAATAATAATAATAATAATAATAATAATAATAATAATAATAATAATAATAATAATAATAATAATAATAATAATAATAATAATAATAATAATAATAATAATAATAATAATAATAATAATAATAATAATAATAATAATAATAATAATAATAATAATAATAATAATAATAATAATAATAATAATAATAATAATAATAATAATCTTTTATAGTCCATATTTTGTAATCTTTTATTAAGTTAAACCGAAAATGGAAATTCTTTTTGCCCAATTGATCGTGAGCCCGGCAGCCACTGAGCAGCGCCAGATCGACATTGCTCTATCCCTTATTGTTGAACGCCAAACAAGGTCTTTTAACGTCTTTTGATATGACGCGGCCGGGTTCGAACCCTCGACCTCCCGGTTGTGATGCGGACGCTCTACTGACTTAGCCAACACAGGTACATGGACAGGGGCAGGGGCGGCGATCCTGGGCCCGATAGGGGGACACGTCGCCCTGGAAATTTAAAAATACAGCTAGAAAGACATATAGCGGAAAGAATTATTGGGCTTAGGGATTTTCTAGAATGCATAATTTCAGCATTCAACATTGCAAAATCTCGCTTGGTCGCTACGCCCCGGTCGCGACTTTACGTTTTACACTGTAGTTCCGTCATTTTCACGATAAGTGAGTAAAACCGGGCTGCAGCAAAGACTAGTACTTCATGAACAGCGCGCCTGATCTGAACTTGCCAGGTTATTCTCGCATTCTTGACGTTATATTTCATTAATGGTTGATTTATGTCATAATCTGCCATGGAAGACATTACGCAAACAACGCTTCCTGATCCATTGCAGGTATGTAAATGAAAAATTTAAAATAAAAAAACGTTTTATCATACGTCTCACAGATAGTAGATAGATGTAGGTCTAGACTAGTCCCACATGTGGATTTTTTTGTAGTGTAACTGTACTATAGTGTAAGACGATGAAATCACCCAAGAAATCTCCAAAGAAAGTGGAGGGATCAACCAAGAGAGCGAGAGAGAGAGAGATGATGATGTCAAAGGTTATCAAGGGGTCAAAAGGTCATATTCCTTGTTTTATTGATCGCAAAATCAGGCGAGACCTGTGGTTCGCGAACCACCTTGGTTTTTTTTTTTCATATTCAGAGAGTATTGGGTGAACAAGATGTATTTACAGGGTTGAAAAGAACCAGAAAGAGATCTACCATGTCATGCAGGGAATAATTTTCCTCAAATTTTTTGATTAGCAATGTCAGCCGATGGATAAATATTTCAAATGAAATTCTGTACATTTCTATGGAAGAAAACTGCTACACAAAAGATATTTTGTATAGCAGTCATGCAAAAATGCATAGCAAATTGCGATGCGATACCAGGAAAATTATTCCTGTCATGTCTTACATTTGGTTAACAATGAACATAGAAAAAACCAAGCCTGAGCAAATAATCAAATAATAACTTCCTGAATTGTAGATGTTGTTCTCTCCTGTGAAGAATACTGTACTTTAAAGACAGTATGCAGTGCATTTGTTGTCCAATGTAATGTTTTCTAAATTGGGTAGTGATATATAATTATTGAATTTCAGCAACAAGCAATGTGCCATCAGGATGGCTTGGCCCTCTCCAGTCATCTGAGCCCTCAGCTGAGGATGTGCCCGAGCCTGATGTAGATGAGCCAATGTCTAGTAGCCATCTTGATGACCATGCTTCAATCGAAGATCCTCAACTAGTCAGGCTAGAAAGCCTGCATGCCCAGAGAGATCTACACAACCAGTTTGCCCAACGTAATGCATAGACATTACTCCACCAAATGTAAGCAATGACTTTCATTTTTTACTGCATGCATTATAAGATCGTTCTATTTTTCCATTTACGCTTAACCCTCATCCCATTTTTTTTTTGTTCACTTGAGTCCATGGAGGGGGGGGAGGGGGCATTTTTTGCCCCCCTTCAGATCTCAACCGCCAATCGCGCAATCTCCACGAAAATTTGCATGATAGTAGTGTGCGATGTGATCTACAAGAATGTAAAGTTAGTCTTTCCGAACTAATGTCTTTTTATTTTATGTTAATTATGTTAATTTATGCACAAAATCATACTTTTTGCTCTAAATCACTAAATAAAGCTCATAGAATTCTAATTTTTGGTGTAAATATTCTTTGTAGCATTCCAAAAAATTATACTTGAAGAAAATTCCTGGTATCAAACTTAATTTCTTATGTATTTCTTCTTTCGCGACCTTTTGTTTTTGTTTGTTTTGGGGCAAAATTTATTGCAGAAACTTTTCGAAGCATAATTATGCTGAAGAAAAAAAATAATTTTAGCCAATGAGCTGTTTTTGGTTTGACGGATATTTGTTTAAATCGTGCAACGTCGTAACGGTACAGGGTGTATGCCCGTTTTCGTGAAAATGTTTTTTTGAAAGTAAAAAGTCAGCGAGCGCCACGTTCAAAAATTTCGCGCATCAGAATGGTCATGAAAAATGTTGATGGGCCCCCCCCCCCCCCCCCCCCTCCATGTGGTTAGAGTTATTGGAATAAATCAAATTTGTTTACATAATAATGGCTATCATTTGCATGCTACAGAAAATTTGCATATTACATCCATGCGGATGGATACACAGGTGCGGATGCAGTAGGGAGCCAATTGTGCCTCCCCCCCCCCCCCAGTCCTTGTTCAACCCTGTGTCCGCACCTGATTTCCTGAGAATTTACATTATTGTTTATCCCTGATGATACGTGTTGCATTTTATTGTTAATTATTAATATTCTGAATGATAACAGTTGTTGAATCTAATTTGCATGTTATAGTTATTAATATTCATGATGATGTATGTTGCAGAGAATCTATATGTTACTGTTAATTATTACTATTAATGATAAAATATATTGAATAGAAGTTGCATTTTATAAATTATTATGTTCATGGTACATGTTTCAGAAAATTTGCATGTTGCATGTCAGACCAACCACCCCCCCCCCCCCCCCCAAAAAAAAAAAAAAAAAAAATTGTATTGGCATAACAGCCAACTGAAAAATATGGTTGACAATTACAATCTTTTTTTTTCACTCGGGGAGTAATTCCATATTTGCTGCTTGCCCTACCTTAACAAGTGCATGATAAAAATAGATAAGCCAAAATGAGGACCATACTTCTTTTGGTTTTTATTTTTTCCAGAGATTCTTGTATATATTTTGGAATAAAAAACAAATCCAGGGTATGTGGTACTATTATGTTAGGTCACGTTATGCCAATTCAACATCTTTCCTTGAGGGGGGGGGGGGGGGGGGGGGGTCTTATCTTGATTATTAATGTTCATGACATAACAAATTCTTCTGTTTTTTTTTGTTTTTTTTTCTTCCATCTGTTAACTCACACCTTGTCTATTAATGACTGGATACAGATGTAGCAAACAAGTAAGTATAATACAGTTTTATTTCATTTTCAGCATATTCCATTTTATATCTAGTTTGTAAATGAATGTCGCCAAGGCGCACATTTCAGCACTCCCTGCTTACAGTAGTAAACAAGTGGATACTGCCATCAACAAAAGTTGACGATGTGTGCTCCTCTTATGTTATATGTTTTTGGACATATTTCTTACCATTGTTATTATAACATTTAAGGGCTAACATGTTTACAGAGAAAAATTATAATTGAAACAAAACTCAAGCAAAATAGAATTGAGTTGTATTTACATGTTGTTTGTAGATACTTCTTTGACAGTGGCCAGTCACTTTAAATTAATGAAGGAAAGTGTAAAATGCTAGTTAACTGATAGTGAGTATGTAACCAAATAGAACTGTTATGTGAGATTTTGTCTTACTAGGTAATTTTTCTTGCTTTTTGTTTTCAGCTCCACAGAGAGACAACAGGATTTTGGAGGATGTCCATCATATGTTTGTGGACATGGAGGAAAAACTAAAACAAGATCCAACCACCTACGTAGAATCGTACAAGGCTATGCTCAGAGCATATGGTCGTTTAAAAACAGACAGTGCCCTTGTATCAGCAATCCGAATGTTTGGCAGGTATAGCGGAGTAAATCTTGCTAAAAGGAAGGTGAAGTCGAAGGCAGGAGTCTCGGGTGGACTGCTACAGTCATCTGGCCCCAGCATCCCTGTTCAGCCCTCAGCCATATCACGCCGTCGACTGAAACTCGGAGGGAGGAGGAAACTAAATAAGGGACGTCCAACCAAACAGTCTGCCATGAAGAGCAAGCCTTTTCTAGACCATCTTCATCAGCCATAATTCCATCCAAGAAAAAGCGTGTTGCTGCACCACATTCCCTTGGACTTGCAGTGACTATGTGCCAATCTTTAGGGAAGACACATAGTGCAAAATAATTGAGTATGCTCAACCAAACACCTTCATCTTCAGGCGAATTACCAGAAGATTATATACCAGAAGCCGTGGCCCGCTGCATGAATAAGGCACAGCGGGATTATATGCCAGATATACCGATCCTCTATAATTCTTCCAAAGACTTAGGAGGGGATTAGTACATCCGGTATAAAATGCTGTTTTGCGGTTTTCCCGCAGTGGGCCGCAGCTTTATCTTTTGGTAAGTCACCTAAGCTGTCATTATGCACTGGATGTGTCCCAAAAAAGTATTATTTGGACTATATTTGGGATAGTTATGACTTTTGTTTTTTAATTCTGCTGATGTCATATCTTTGCAAACAAATTACCACCTTGAAAGCTATTTCTTATTTGCTAACAATTGCCTGATTTTGTGATACTTTTTCCCTTTTTAGTCTCACTTTCATGATAATCAACATCCATAAAAAAATAAAAATAAAAAGGTTTAAATGCTAATGAACCTTACCTAATAACAAGGCATTAGCGATGTTGTGTCTCGACCACTTGTGAAAATGACTAGAAATATCGCGATCTCCCTTGCCATCCATGAGAATTGTATATGAGAGTCATACAGGTAAACTTTAAACGTTTTACCTGAAATGACCTATGACTTCACCATGTGACCTCTGAAGGCACGAATATATCCTAAATTTTGTTTGCCATTGCAGCAACATGTGCAGAGTTATTTATTTTGATTTATTTATTTATTCATATATTCATATTCCACAAATCATCAAAGTACATTTCATAATAAAACATTTCCATTGAAAAAAAATACATCAACTGCATAACATATGCAGATTTGAAACGTACCAATAAAATGAAAAAATGTGGAGGGGCCTACTGAAAAGCATAGCTTGTAAGATGTAGACCCCCTATCGAGATTTATACAAGGGTAATATGATATAAATTTAGCAAAATAATCAGCAAAATTCTATAAATTTATATAGATATAAACATTGTAACATGAATGTATATAAACTATATACAAAATTATGTAGATATTGACTTTAAAATAATCAACACTACCGTGGATAAGTATAAAGTTCACGAGATATTTGATTAAATCAATAAGAATTCAGAAGAAATTTTTTGATGAGTATTCTAAATCGGTTCAGATTTTGGGTCCTGTGAAAAATACAGTTTTGCTAGAAAATACTGTTCTGCTTTTAGGTATTAAGTGATAGTCATTTGATTGTCTAGTATTATAGGAATGCAAAGTATTATTTCTCATAAATTTTATTTTGTAGGACATAAGGTATACTATCTGTATCTAGCTGATAAATGAATGGAATAGTTGTAAAGGTCACTGACTTTAAGGATACGTTTCTGACGAAACTATTCATCCGTATGAGCTCTAAAGGGCTTATTGCATATCATTCTCAGTACTTTTTTCTGAAGTAGAATGACTTTGTTGAGTCTCGTGTGAGAGGCATTTCCCATGCCAGAATCTCATAATTAAGATATGGTAAATTTATTGCACAATACCACATGGATAGTGCCTGTGCTGGAAGAAAGCTTTTAAGCTTGTTGATGACTCCAATATTTCTTGCCACAAGAGAGTCTTGCAGATAAATTTTAACATATGACCTCAAACGACCTTTGAACTCACCATGTGACCTCTGACAGCACTGCAACAGTGCAACATGGTGTTATCCCTATTACAGGGAAACTGAAACATTGTGAGAAAATAAGTACTTCTTTTGCTACTTAGTAACATAATAATTACGGTATGCATGCATTGAGTAGTGAATTAGTGGGCCTATATCATAAGACTACACTGCTCAGAATGTTGCATTATGGATTAGTAACCGGGCCAGATTTGAGTAGTTGAGGAATTGAGGTGGTGCTATACAAGGCTGCTGGTTCATATTGGGTTTAAAAGGTGACGTACAGAAATTAGAGCCAATCCTAGATGAGATCTGTAATCTCGAAGATTAGATAATCAGATTTGTGTTAAATGTTATGTTTATATTATTCAGTTGAGCTACTCACCGTTCATGGGCATGTGCATTGGGGTTAATTCATTAATTGATGTAACTTGATTGTTATGCCATGCTACTGTACTTTGTGCAGAAAATGGACTCAGTAACTCAGCTTGCAAGCATCCTAAAATATATATATATTGATTGCTCTTGCATGAAACTGCCAGTAGCCATGATCAACTGAAGTATTCCATCTTCACAGGATATATATATATATATATATATATATATATATATATATATATTTAAAATCTAAATCACTTAAAGGTACTATGTCCCTTTTGCAGCCAACCTCAAATGCTGTAGAACTTTGCAGGAATTATGAATATGTCATGTATGTCCTATCTGTGAAATTGAAACGTTAGCAGTGTCCTCATATCCAAATTATGTAAGGAAACACATTTACCTGCTAGACTTCACTGTCAGACACTATTGAGTGACTGACTGGCTTTTTTTTTTTCTTTGGTATAACATACTTGAAAAGAGCTGTAAAGGTACATGAGCATTTGTCTACACCAGTAACCCACTTCTTGTGATGGCCAAGATTAAACTGATTGACTCTTTGCGCAGCATAAAACGTGTGACCATTCGGTACAATTGTCTGAAAATCAAGACTATTACTTTTGGGCTCTATAGCCCTAAAGTCGATTTGACAACTAATAGTCGTTATTTTCCCATTTGAAGACATTTTCAAGCCCCACATTTTATAGGGAAGTTCTAAATTTGTATTATCTTTCAAATGCAGTTGGAATTTAACTTTTTCATTTTGTTGGCCTGCAAATGGGACATAGTACCTTTAATACTAATGTATCTTGTTCAGATATTCTATGTACTATTTGGCAAAATTGTTTGAAAGGTTCATGTCTTAAACCATGTTAAAGTGGCTTGAAACTTTGAGAAAACAACTTGTGAAATTGTGTGATAAGGCCATTGCACAATGCATAACTATTGTGCAAAACATTGATGATCAATGGTCGAACCCCCCTCCATCAGTTACAATAGGGTTAAAATATGCATGAATTTACTACGTTTTTTTGTTGTTTTTTTTGTTTTTGTTTTTGGTATTGAGTCTAAGTTCTGATTATAAGATGTTGAAAAGTCTGTCATACATTTTGAGATGAGATTGTGTGTCCACGTAAATAAAAATTGAGGTTCAATGAAGTGAGTTTCTGTTGATAAATCATTTGCTGGTTTCATCTCTTTTTTAATTTTGTCACTGTTAATTCAGATTGTGCTGTTCCTATAAAAGCACTGTCCTTGATTTTTGTGTGTATATTTTAGGCAATAATTTACAGGGTTATTGTGTATCATGGCACCGTGACATTGTATAGTTTTATGAACTCTACATGCATGCCAAATATGAAGATAATAAAAGGAGTTAGTGAGGGGGACACTGTGAAGCCAAATATATGCCCCCCCCCCCCCTTCTTTGGGCCTGTGAATGGACAAAATGCCTTGGGCTGAATGTAGTTAATTACTCACAAATAAATACATGTAATTGAAAACTTGTGAAAGGAGTTAAGAGCACTGTGCTTTTCATGTGATAATTTCTTTGTTTTTTCTACCCTGATATGATATAACAGGGTTCTTGGAATAATTACAATTTACATAATAATATAATCATAAATTTAGAAATTATGGTTAAGATATAGATCAACATTACTCAGAATATAAATTCCGAGTTGGTATGAGCTGTAGCCTTTATGACTAGACTATTAGCAAAACAGTTTTTGATCTCATAAATGTACATGCTTAATATAGGATGACAAAAAGGGCTGGGGTCACTTCTTGTATAATATGGGAAAATCATTGATTGTTTTTTTTAATATACCTGGCTGAATGAAGTTTTATGATTTTATGGTCAGTTATTCAGAAATAACTCGCCCTAAAATTATAAAACTTCATTCAGCCTGGTATTTACTTTTTACCATCCTTAATTTGCAACAAAAAAAGTGTTATAACAAAAGCTAGTGAATGAACTTTTGTGATCGCTCTTTCCATTGTGATCCATAGTTTGCGTATATTAGATGTGAAGTAACTGGATTTTTGGGGGACACCCTGAATGTTATACAGAAAATAATACAGAACAGGCACGTCAATCAAAATATTAACATTCCGGTTAAATGTCAATTGTGTATGAATTCAATTAATATGTATATGTGCACTTTGTGTACTTGAGCAATTCCGATGTAATGTGGGCTAGATATTGATTATTTCAGTCATTTAAAGACCATGTGCAACCAATAACAAGTTAACTGCTTTTGAACCATATGATCGTCCACATTTGTAACATTCTGAATGTAATAAATGAATTATACATTTATTCAGTGATTTGCAAAGTTGATATATGTGTGTCGCTTATTGTGGAATTGCCATGTACTATTTGTGAATGTTACGATTGTGTCATAGATGCTTGCTTTTGTTTGCAAACTCATTTATTTAGGGGGAGGGGGTGGGGTACTCAGATTTGTCACCAATGGGGTGTATGGAGCGTCTCAACCCATACTATTTTATTAAGACTCAGTTGCCCCCCCCCCCCCTCCCCCCCCCCCCCAAAAAAAAAAAAAAAATGTAGGCCTAACATTTATTAGGGATTCTAGATCATATTTACAAATAGAAATTTACAGATTTTTTAATAACAAAAATGTGGAAAATGGGGGCATGTTTTTTTGTGTGCGTGCTTTCGTGTGTGTGTGAGTGTGTGCTCTCACCTCAGCATTTTTGTGGGGTTTTATGTGCGCTTCACATACCCCTTGTGAGGCATTTTTACTTTGTGGGGTATTTTTTCAGGACCCCACAGAGTAAAGTCTTTCAAATGACTGTATATTCGGTGTCCTATGCCCTGCGGGGCACTAGAAGTGGTACCCCATAAATGACTTTTTGTGAGCGTGTGCTAAAACTTGCACACTTTTTTATGGTAACATCGTAAGCACACCGCCGGGT